ACATATCTATTTTATAAAATTTATATCAAATTTGTAAATTATAAAATTGAATGCACTTATAAAATATTTTGAAACATACTTTAATTTCGTTTAATTTTAATATTTCTTTTATTAAAATAAGATAAAAGAAATAGAAATTATAAAGCAAATATGAACTTCTACAAATCAAATATATTTTTAAGTATAATTAAATATTCATATTTTTGATCGAATAAAAATTATATTAAAAATATGTTTCCATATTATAAATATTAGAATGTTATTCTTAGAATTATAATAAAATAAAAATTTTAATAATTGTATAAAATCGTAAAAATGTGAAATAATATTTATATAATTACTCCAATAATATATACAAATTAAATTATTATTAAAACAAAACAATAAGATTAAACAGCAATAAATAATTTAAGTAAAAAATTTAATAAAATTCTGATGACATTTGGAAGTTATATATTAAGTATAAAATAATAACGAAAAAAGTAAAAAGGAAGCATATGCGAATACCATCAGCTTATGAGACATTCTCTAAGGGGCATCGACGGATTACTATCAGTTTACTCATTCGTCCCGGATGTTCAATAATCTTGAGTGCACCTGCGATAGAAGTTGTATGGTGGTGCCGCCAATGCAATATAACGGAAAATATGCGAAACTATTGAAAGGGCATCGCGTTCGTCTGTTCCCGTCGTCGTTCGTGCACAGCGGTCAGAGACACGAGAGCTTTCAGTCTGTGGAAAGAGTAATTTGAGAGAAAGAAAGAAGAAGAAGGAGAATATGAAACTGGGAAGGGATTACGTTCGGTTCTCATCGATGTACGCGTTGAGGCGAAGAGGAAGAGAGAGTGAGTGAGAAGCATTGCCAAGCGCACACGGTATGAACGTTCAGTGGCATGTTTCAAACACTCAACATGCTTGTAGTTGGCGCGAGGTTGTAATATCGTTGAAACGAAAGAGTAGTTTGCGCGTATTCTTTGCACTTGAAACAACGGACTTGACAAAGTGTACAATTCTTACGAAGCCATGTTTAATTCGACATATGAACAAGCAAAAGTGTCTTACAGTAATCGTAATAGTGTCCTGCTGTGTAAGTAAAAACGGAATGAAATAACGTGTGGGGGAACATAAAGCGAATTTTGACATTCCTTCAAGAAGAAACGTCGCATTGATTTATATCTTTTACAGACGACGAAAGCAAAGTTTAATGTAAGAAGAAAAAGGAAGCATAGTGAAATGTAAGTACGCGACAGTACCGGCATTAGTGTGCATTTCTTAAAGCGGGTCGCAGCCGCAGATGCTGCCCTGTCTCTACTCTCAGAAAGTCGTTGTTTCTGCTACTCGAAAAGGAGAACGTGATTCCTACATACCGGAACAATTTACCAGTTTTTGTCTTTAAATTTACCAATGGAATCTACATCTGAATCATATTTACAAATGTTTGGCGTTTATGTATCGGAACAATATCGTAAATATATTTAGAGTGAACCTATTTTTTGATAGTGTAAAAGTATAATAATTGCATGAGAACAATAAAAATCGAAAAATGTGTAAAAAGAACATTATACACGTGATACGTAAAACCAAGGTCGAGATAAATAGAGGGTAAGAGTGTAAATAAAAGTGCACTATAAGTGAGACGACAAGACAGTGAAAGTGTTTTTCTTTTACTAAATTTAATTTTCTTAGTGATGTGAAGAAAGCAATTTAAAAAATTTTGTGCTATATTTTTTTTTTGCGATATTACAAAGTGACAGTGCGAAATTTAAAGAAAAAAGTGTTACAATAACGAGTACATATATGTTTCTGTACAAATGTAGAACCACGGTATCGTCTCAAGGCAAGATATCAACAGTGGACTTTTCTTTGACGGCCAGCTATGTTAACGGTGGAATTCCGCTCGAGAGGAATCTGAAGGCGGGGACTCTGACGTCACTCCGCTCATGATAATGAGGTATTCATGATGGCGGAGTAGTACATGAAGAAAAGAAAGAGAGAGAATGTGCGCGTGTGTGATATATAATGTGTATGTGTGTGCGCGCGTGTATAAGCGACAAGGTATGCTAAGTATTATATATGTAATATATACTATATATTATATATATTACATATTGTATATATGAATATACACATATATACATATACTTTCTTTTCTTTTCTGTCTCTTTTTTCTCTTTCTCTTTCTTTTCGATGAAATATGTATATGCGGGTATACGTATATTATGCATGTGTGCGTATGTGGTATGCAATACATCCTTTCTATCTCCATTCTACTGTATATATTGGTATATCAGTGTGTATTACTATTGTATGCCTTCTCTTTACCAATATTCGATTGTTCCTCTTTGTCTATCTTACATTAGCTATCTTTCTTTCTCTTTCATCAATACAGCGTGTATGTGGCACGGGGAGTATGTGCTCGCGCGCACAGATATGTGCCTGTCGACTGGTCGGTGATAGAGAGTTTTGGATGGATTTAGAGCGCAGTGAAATATGCCAAGGAGACGGAATGGGGAGATACCGCTTCCGGAAGGGTGGGACGTCGCACAAGATTTTGATGGAAAAGTGTATTTCATCGATCATAACACAAGAAAAACAACGTGGATCGATCCTAGAGACAGGTATGCCATTTTCTATGTATATGTTGTATGCATGCGTACACGTGCTAAAATAGCGAGTATATATATATGAAATTAAGTGCGTCTTTATGCAAGATCATATTTTTTGCGAATTTATACATAGCGAACGAAATTTTCTAATAATTAACATATATTATATGTATTCATAGATACACGAAATATTTTTCATTTTTTAAAATTATATTGCCCTCGTGTGAGCGCCCCTTAAGTTTCTTAAATGTGTGTATCAACTATGTGTATGCGTATATTCATACACCGAGGACTCGCCGCGCCCGCATTCCAGTCGCCAGGGCCGCCGCGTTCTCGATGAAAAACTCGAGAAATCTGGTGACCATGGTCGCATGCGAAAATAAAACTACTATTCATTTCAACATTTTGATGATAAAATTCCATTTTAATAATTATTGTATTTTAATTCATAGCAATTATGGCAATTAAAAACATAAAATTTTTTACATTGAATCTGATAATAAGTTTTTATTATTATAGTATAAAATTTATTTATTTTCGTATAAATAAATTTATTCTTTTATATAAATGAATATATAAAAATGTATATAATTTGGATATTATTTTTTTATTATTATTTTACTATTATGGTATAAAATTTATTTATTTTTATATAAATAAATTTATTCTTTTATATAAATAAATATATAAAAATGTATATAATTTGGACATTTTTCTTTTAATTGATTAATTGTTACTTATTTTTGATAATAAATAAAAAAGGAAAAAAATTAAATACTAATTAATACATGTGGTATAATAATTTACATGTTGAATTATTATATTTGAATCAATTTCTCTAGTTAATTATTCAATTACTTGTTTGATATTGGAATGCAATTAGCAATATTAATATTTTTAATATGCAAAATTATATAAAATTTTTTTTTTGATTTTGTCGAAATAATGAACAAATAAATAAAATTTTAATCTCATAATTAATCCAACGAATAATGCTTATTATCGAGTAAAAAGCTAAAATCTTGTTATAAAACTGGTTTACATAGCATAGTGTTCCACGTGTTCACGTTGTTTAGATTAATGTATATACGTGTAATCGCAGAGCGATGTAATATAAGTGAACCATCTTACGGGGTTAACCGGTATATGTATATGTATCTACTACATGCAACTGACCCGTACCTAAAAATAGACTTTGGTACAAGGGTATTATTCTTCTGATTTTGATGTTGTTATTAAGCATCAATCTCGTTATGCATATTTCTTTTCATTTAATTTTTTTTTTTGTTTCGAAATAATTATACATATCTACTTGATGATGCTTAAAAAAAATTTTATATAAAAAATATAAAATATTATGTAAGAAATTAAAAATATATTATTTGAAAATATATTTGAGATATATAAAATATTATATTTTACATATATATATATATATATATGAATAAGTGTATTAATAGTTGAATTAACATTGAAACATATTAATATTGAAACTTAAAAAAAATTGAATAATTATAAAATCTATTAAATTTTTTAGTTTTATAGTTTATTTACCAAAATAAAAAAAATATGAATATTATGAAAAAATTTAAACAATTAGCTTTTCAGCTTATCAAAAGAGTATTATAATACAAAGAGTAGTATAATACACTTTATATAGAAGCTCATTATACAATAAATAACATTAAGCATGAAAGATATTTCTTTCGTTTAACAAAAAATTCAAGTTTTTAAAATCCTATATGTATATTTTTATAATATCTTGTTAATTTTAAAAAAATGAAAAAAATATTAAACAAATTTTTGGAGTACTTTTCTATAATTATAATATTAAAAAAATAATAAAATAAAATAATTTATTATTAAATTATTAAATATTTAATTATTATTTATAAATATTTAATTATTATTATTTAAATTATTAAGTGTATATTACAAATGAATTGTTTTGATGCAACAATTTTAAATCTTGATGAATAATATTAATATAATATAATATAATATAATGTATATAATGTATATAATATAAAATTATTAACATTAATATTAACATTTTTTTACTTATAAAAAAATTATTTAAATTTATTATTCTATTTAATACGAAAATATAATAATATAAATAAATATTTTTTTATTAAAATCTAAATATTAATGTGATACAAAAATATAATATTTTTAATATATAAAATTTTTTATAAATTTTATTGTGCAAATAAATTTTGTTACGGAGAGATTGTTCATATATTTATAAATCGCAATAAGCAATTCATTATTAACAGTACACAAGTAATATTATATTTAAATAATTTTTTGTTTAACTGATCAATTCAAATATAATATATTAATACCATCAGTGTCTGTATATCTATATATAAAAATAATGCAAATTGAAAACTATATATATATTTTATATTTTAAATATCACTGATATAAAATCAATATTTGTTCACTCAAATTATCGTTCGGAAATTTGAGCACAAATTACACGATCTATGTTTGCTGCTGTTTTCGTTTGCACATTTGGCACGCGAACAACAGAACCGATGTACGGTTATTTCGTATAATGACGAAATTTCGCGTTCCTCGAAATCTCGAAATTTCATTCTCTGAAATTACTTAGTTTCTCTCACTGCCTCTCGCCTCTGATTCTTTTTAAAAATTCTTTTTTGAATCGAATTCGCGTTTATTTCATTCGTCCAGTTTCTTACTGTGCGTTCCTTATGCACTGCAATGTATGGTATTTGCTCGACATCTGTGTTTAGGAAAATTCTTTCGATCTCTCACAAGCGCGCATGCTCACAACTGCTCTCTCTGCCTCTCTTCCTCTCCATCGCATTCTTTTGGTTGGAATTCGATGTCGAGCAGATGCCAACTATTCGTATATACATACAATATCGTTTCATGAATTTACGATTCAATATGCGATTGTTTATAGATTTATAAGTATATAAGTTGATTTTTTAAATTCTTATTTGAAATTCGATACGATCTTAATTATTTGATTATATTTATATAAAATGAAACATAAATTATTTCTTTATACGAAGACTGGAAGAATATTCTGAAAAAAAAGAGATAACAATTGTTTCTCGCCTGCATTATGCAATATTCTAATTTAAAAAAATATTATTATATTATATCCTTTTAAAAATAGTGATTTGGATTTCGAAAAATTATTCTAAGCGAAAGTTATAAAATATTTAAAGGGAGAAATTATGTTAAAAATTTTATTTTTGTTAAGTATGATAAATTTTATATTATAATTCATGTTCATTATACAAAGAAACATTGAGAAAATAATATTTATTTCTCTCGAATTTATCTTATACTATTATAATTGCAAATTAATAGAATTAAAATAGTTTGAATTAGATTTTTTATCTTACTTGAATTAAAGAAGAAAAAGTATTTGTTTTAACATATTTATAAAAATATGAATATTGATTAATTATAATGAAATTGAATTTGACCAAAATTTTCTGATATAATTTACGAAGTTATCATTGTTAGCGCAAAGAAATAAAGGGATGGACAGCATGATATTGCGTACACACATGCATGACCAAAGCCATGGCACGAATTACGAAGCAATGTTCCCAAATTTGGAAATTCGAGACATTCTTAGGCTATGACACATCCATGTACAGAGAATGAAGGCAAAGAGATTCCTGTAAGCTGAGTACTATTATTTTCTTCTTGGAATTTTTACGCTCGAACACGTTTCAAAACGACTCGGCAACTCGACCGTCTCGCCATCAACGCAAACAGTCATTATGTCGTTAGAAATATTTTCAGCTATCATTCGTAATCACGATTTATATGCTTAACCGGCCTCTACGTGACCCATCGTAGAATATTCTTCTTGCCCGTCGCAATTAAATGCTTTCAATTCGTTTTTGTATATTTTCACCAATTTGATTAACTGTCTCTTACTATTGCTTGCAATTATTTATTCTGATAAACTTTTAACATTTTAAATCTAACAAACTAATGAAAGATACGTGGAAAATAAATTGGAAATAAATAATGAATTTTTTTCAAAATAAAATATCGAAAAACTCACTTTGGAAATATATCATGTATACGATCATTCAATATTGAAGCAAAAATCAGTAAAGCAACAGATATTTCATTTAAAAAATAAAACAATGCAAATAAGAAATCATTAGGATAATGTTTTAATTCTTCTGCATATGTGTATATGTATATCAAGATTCATTCAATTATTATTTTTTGTTAGATTTAATGGCATTTTAATAAAATTGCAAACGATTTTAATGATCACTTAACATTTTTTTTTGATTATTTACTTCTATTTAAAATAAAACAATGAAAATAAGTATAAAATATATAAAATATAGAATGTTAGATTATAGAATAAATATTCAAAGTTATCATAGTATAAACATGATTATATAAAAATAAACATCACGATTATGGTATTTAATTAAAAATATTAAATAACCAGATTATTTGCCTAATTTTTTTTTTTGGTAATAGTAGCTAATAATATTCAATAGTCGAATTGATTTATAAAAATAGGTTGAATAGATAAAAATATGAAAATGTGATCAATATTCAACTTACGCATTAATACTCAATTAATGGGTCAAAGCTAGATATATAATCGAAGAATACCTACGCAATTTATATGCCCATATATACATGCTTATACTACGCGATTGACGTTACATTCAGGGCCGTGTGTTTCATCTAATCATGAAATAAATAACCACACCTGCTTTCCAATACTCTTAAACAGAAGCGAAACTAATGAAATTTAACGATTGGATAATTTTCATTCTAATTTATGTTCTTTTTTATTTTAAAAATAGATATCATATTTTTATTGCATCGAACATAAAATATTCAGTTTGATAACATTTCCAATTTTAATTCCGATTCTTTTTTTATATTTTTAAAGATATATAACTTTAACTTTAGCTTCTGATAAGAATCTTATTTATTATTTTAACTATATAACTACATAACTATTATAAGAATGAAAAATTAATTTAACATGGATCATAATATCAAAGTATTCCAAATTCTTTTAATGTTTTTTTTTCCGTTGATTTTTTAACTGAAATTTAATTAAATGAAATGAAACAAATATTAAGGAATATTTAACAAAGATCTTTTTTCATTCCTCCTTTTTTTCTGTGTTCGATAAAATACAAAACTTTAAACTTTGAATTTTTAATTGAGTTATATTGGTATTAAATTTCGAATTCTCTATTTTATAAATTATCGATTCTAGTCCCAATTTTTTAATTCTTATTATTGATGAATTATAAAATGAAAAGATTAATTAATATTAAAAATAAAATATTTTTGTGTATTATAATTCTTTCATAATTATTTTCCTAAAAAATATTTAGAAAAATGAATATTTGACATAGATAAAAGAAAAGATTAAAGAAATACAAATGTAATCTTTTTAATTTTTGTATAATTTGTTATATATAATAACAATAATATATTGTAACAATAATAAAATTGTAAATTATCTTTTATATTAGAAATCTTTATTATCGTGCAACAAATTCGATTTTCATTTGATTATCATCGTAAATTAAAAATATCTGATATACATAGTATATTGCGGAAGATTTCTGCAATTGAATGTTACTGATAAATAAATTAAATAATATCTTATATATATCTAATAAATAAATAGAGATTATAATTCTTATCGTATGAAAAATTAGAAAAAAACTTTGCACTTCAATATAATTTATTATATTATTATTATTTTTTATCATAAATGTGAAATTATATTTTTTTTTTTCAATGAAAGCTTAAAATTTTTTATATAAATTGATTCTTCAAATTATTTAATGTAAAAGATCTAAAGTAAACTAATTTTAGATATATATATCATATATGTCATATATATCATATGTTATACACAATTCTTTTTACATATAAAATATTACATTAAAATATTGTATTTTTTTTCTTTCCTCTTATTATTCCTCTTTGAAATAAGATATTCTATTTCCTTTTCGTATAGATATTATTTAAAAGAATTGAAGAATCGAATTCAATAATCAATGTATAGCAATATAATGTTTTCATCAGTTCGCCATTCTATTTCATGAGTTTGCAATACATCTAGTATAATTGAAACAGACGTGATAGTAATAGTTATTTTATGCTTCCTGTCGTTGTCATGACTTCTGTTGTAATTTCCCTTGGTAAACATCACTTCTTAGCTTCCTTCGTAGAAGATTAGTAGTCAGGTGAATGTATCATAAACGCAGCCTTTGAAATTTCTAACAAATGGTATGTTGATAGAGTAGCGTTACATTAGCGATATACATATTTATTGTCTCGATATAACAATACCATATTGTCATTGATGATGTGTTCATTTTTTTGTATTTTTTTATAACAATGCAAAAAAAGGACATTTATTGTTATACGAAGAGATATTTCAATGACAAAAATAAAATCTGTATTGCATTTTTCTCTTTTTGTTATGATATATTATATATTGGAATAAAAGTAGCTTATATAAGTTCATAAATTCCATGTTATATCGAAATATCATGTTTTAATATTGTAACTTATTAATTTTAATAATTTTTTCTATAATATAAATGATTATAAGATGACGAATTGAATAATATTTGAAAAAATGAATTATCATCTTTTATTTAGATAAAAAAATTATCATTTAATTATTTTTATAATACTATTTTATTTATTTAGAATAATTTTAATGTTGAAATATTTATAAATTTTGTCAATGTCAAACTTTCTAACTATTTATTATTACTGATTTACTTCGTAAAGAAAATCGTAAACTTGTAAGAAAGGATTTTATTATTATCATTGCACTTCGCAGGTTGTAATGTATATAGCATAACTTTATCGATATAGAATCTATTGCATTTGTGCAATTTTTTAACATTCGATTTATCTCAAAGTTAAATTTCCTTCTTCTTAAGTTGCCATTTCTACTGCGCCGTCTCCAATGTCGTTTCTCCTTTCCTCTTGCCCCTTCAACTGACCCCCTCCTCTCTTATTCACGTTATTTCTTCGTCATGATGTACATTCTTGACCCTCCTTCTCCTTCCTCCTTCGTATTGTAGGACAACGGTGCGGTAAGGCCAAGGGCACATTAAAACGTGAATCACGCGGTGGAAAAGGAATTAAGGAATTGTCAGTGAAATTCTGTATCGACAACTAATATTTTCAAAGCTTTTATATTATTTATGATGACGTTTAGTATTTTCTTGTCGTTAATATATGTACAATTTTCTAAATATTTAAATACTTTACTTGTTGTGATATATTGTAATAATATAAGTAGCAAAAATGAAAGTTTCGAAAAAATTTTAGCTTGTTTTTTTTTTATTAGTTTCATTTTGTCACACTGAATTAATATAATGACAGTAAGTAAATATATCGAAAAGATAAGTAGCTAAATTTACAAATTCATTTTAATGTAAATAAATAACTTAGGATCACAATTCATATAAAAATAAAAATGTTTGTATATAAAAATAATAAAAAAATATATAGTACAATTTATTTTTTTACATTTATCTTAACGTGTTATATTGATGAATAAGAATTATATTGAATATGTGTGCAAAAGTAATATTTAGGTTGAAAATTGTTGTTGAATAAAAAAAATCATTTTTATATACACATATATTTGTATTTTGTACGCAAGAATATAATAATTAATAATTATTCATGAATTATTTAATTTGTTATTTAATTCGTATATTACATTTTTAAATTTGAAGTAAATTTAATTGAAATAAATCTTGATTTTTCATGTGTCAGTATATCACAAAATTTATCACAAGCTAAAACTATAAATAATAATTATCTTCAAAGTATAAAATTTAGAATAAAAAACAATTTGTTAATAAAATCTTTTTAATATTGTAAATTTTCCATTGTTATTTCTCAATGATAAAATAATATGCTCTTTGAAATTTTAAAAAATTAATTTTATAATAATTGTATCTAAAAATTATTGTAAAAAAATAATTATTTAAATGTAGTACAATTTTTAGATATTTTTAAATATTTTTATGCTAATAACAGGTATATACATATGCTTAAATATATATTATATCTATGTACATGATTTAATATGAAATGAACGACATTGTTCACACGCTATCGTGATACTAAATATAGAAGATATGCATATGATAAAAATAAAATTTCAAGGCAACGAAATTATTAACAAGTATTAGCAAAGAAATATAGTAAAAACGAATTAATAGTTATATTATTAAAAATTAAGTAATAGATAGTTTTGAATGAAGGATAGAAAAAATTCGATGATAAAAAAAAATTATTCAAACATATGCAATCTCTCTTTCTTTCTCTTGCATTGTAATATGTACTTGTTGGTATTCGCATTCTTCTTGTGCCGATTACCGATTCCATTTCACTTTCGACACGATAAACTCGAGTTGGTCGCTGGCCTCTGGAGGTCAGGTTATTTTGTATGCAAGATATAATCTCGTTGTTGCGCATACACATATGAAAATATGACAGTATTTGATCAAAGTAATTTTTTATTTGTTATTATTTAATATATTTAGTAATCATTGTTATTTATCTAATTAATTGCCTAATTAATGCCATTGTGTAATTATTGATGGGAATTTTCAGAATAGAAACAAAAATAATTAATTAAGAAAGAAGAATAAAGGAAAAGCCATTTTCAAGGCAAAAATTTAAAAAATAAAATCGATAATTTAACAACGTATATAATATGGAAAATTACAGGCTCGATTTTACGATTTTTCAATATTAAACTTTTTGAATCAAGGCTAGTTTTTATTTTGGTGAATTCCTCTGTGAATCTTGGAAATCTTTTAGGATTACGCCATAGTCTCGTCGGTATTCTTTGATCTCATTGCCATTAAAATACGAAAACAATCGTTATCGATATAAAAATACAATGCACAATAAATGTAAAAAATATATATATTTAATAATATAAATTACAAACAAATATGTCATTATTTTAATGATTCAAAAAAGTGAAAAATATTTCAACGATGAAAAAATTTAAATATAAATTAAAAAGTTATAATGGTATTAAGATAAATTTAATTTAGAAATATATTTACCTGCAAAATTTGGATAAAAAAATGCGGAAATTGAATTAGGATCAAGTACATATTGATTTATTTTAGAAATTAGAATCGAATAATATAATCTATTTATTTACAAATATTAAAATTTTCGATAAATATTAAATAAAATTAAATCTTATTTTTAATTCATATGATTTCAGAAAATGTTTTATGTATTATTGTATTATTTCGAGCGACTTTACTTTAATGATAATTTAAATCTTTAATAAAATTTTGACATCATAAACCTAGTGATATAAGTCGATTATAACAATTATTTTTGGAATTATGAATATGATGAAATATTTATTCTACATAATCATATTTTTAATTTTTTTAATTTTACTAAACAAGCAAATTAGTGTTTATGTTTAATTAAACTTATTTAATTTCATAAAAATATACATACATATACACAGTATTTCTTACATATATGCATAGATATTAATGTACAAGATATTTACTGTTCTTATTTAACTTATTTTTCTTGCAAATATTTGTTTTATAATAGAAATGGAAAAGAATGAAAATCTGCTATTTTTTATATGATTATAAGATTTTTTTTTTCTAGTTCTAATAATGACGAGATCTCGCGTGTTGAATATTTTTATAGTTAATTGATTTTAATTTTATAGTTAATTATAGTTAATAAAATAAAAAAAAATATGCCTTTAAATGTGAATTAAAGATTTTTTTTTTTTTTTGTTTTAATTTCAGATTTACAAAACCTCAAACATTTGCAGACTGTATCGGAAACGAACTTCCACTTGGATGGGAGGAAGCTTATGACAAACACGTGGGTGCATATTATATTAATCATGTCAATCGTGAGTATCATATCAAAAATATTTTTTTGTTCAATTACACCAAATTATATTAAAAATTTTAGATTTGAATATTTAAAAAGATTTTTTTTGATCATTATATGATCAAATAATAATTCGATTATTGTATTTATAATGTAATTAACTTATAATATAAATTCGTTGTTATTCTTAAATGTTATATTAAATAATTTTTTATTTATCAATATGTAAAAAATTTGAAAATAAGTATATTTTTGAAAACAATTCTCAAGAATATATATATATATATATATTTGCAGATTTATTTTAGTTTCTCATAAATCTTAAATCAAAAAAGTCTTATCATATGAAATATATATCATAAAAGAAATAATTATAAGTATAAAATTATCATTTTGGAGGATTGGAAGATATATTCTTAATCTTTTATTTCTTTCATTTTATATAATTAATAAAAAAAATTTCAGAGACGACGCAACTCGAAGATCCAAGGCAAGAATGGCGAGCCATTCAGGAGGCCATGCTTCGAGAATATCTTCAGACGGCACAGGATGTACTCGAGGTAAGTTTTGAAAAGTTTTTTCAATCATTCTTAAATACGTCTGAATCGTCTATGGAAACGGATATTTAACAGGAATGTCAATTCCTTCTTAATATAATAGTTTAAGTTAAAATCATTAAGTACATATACATATAGTAAAATATGATACTTTATCGAATAATATATATATTCTAGGAAAATTGATACATTCTTGAAGAACAATATTGTAAATCGAAATGCTCGAGATATTATTACATGTTGTTCGAATTGATATTTAGTTTAACTTTGAGCTCTACTATGTAAAAAAATAACTTAAGTAGAATTAACTTCTTCATTTAGGATCAAATTATATAATTATATCGTCTGCTTATTTATGGATAAAAAATGTGCATGTAGAGTTGAGAAGTTTTTTCTTAAGAAAGATTAGAAAATATTATATATATTTTTAACGGTGGAAATTGAATCCAGATGTTTTTCTGTTATGAAACAGAAATTCCTTACTAGTCCTTGTCCATTCTAAAAATAGAACAGTTGAAAAATAATTGATCACTTGTTACATTTTAATCAATATAATGTAATATATGTAATGTATGTATATGATACAAGTTTACGTTGATATATTTGAAATTTTCTTAATTTTTTTTTAAAAGTTGTGAATATTGAAACTTGTATACAATTCTAACTTCCATTCATTTATATATTGCAAAGATTTCTCAATTATTCATGTATTAATTTTCATTACGATGGAAAATTAACAATAGACAGTAACATTCAATAATGCAATATTTATTGCATTTTTTGTCTCTTCAATTCTTATGTCGATGAACCTCTGTTAGTTGAGATTATGAATAACGAGGGAACGATAAACTTTTAAACGAGGGACGGTAGAATCTCTACACAGGAAGTTATTTCGTGAGAAATCATGTTACTTCCGGTCACTAACTGTTTCCTCTCGTCTGTTTGTATTAATATCTGTCGCTAGATTATGGATTAAATAATTTTTTCCTCTCGAGTCATGTCAAGTTTACGTTTTGAACGTTATTCAAAAAATAAGTTTTTGATTATGAAATTTGTAGATTGTTATTATACTACTGTAATTAATGACTAATAAGTTAATCCATTTTTTATCTTGAAAAAAATGTGAAAAATCTTAAGAGAATAAGATTAAATATGTAATCAGTTAAAAAAAGGATTAGTTATTTAAAAATCTTAGGAAACACATTTTGGCAATATTTTATTTTAACCTATTCGCGGAACGTGAATTTCCATAAATGCCAAATGTGCAAAATTTTCGCTGCCACTGCGAATATTTTATATTGGTCTTGCAGCTACTTCTAGTTCTTTTCCAATTTCAATTTATATTTCATTCATTTCTTCTCTTTCATATTTTTTTATAAAATATTCATAAAATAAGTTATGATGATAGGATAATTTCTAGTTATTTTTGTTAACTTTTTTATAAGTTTTTTAAAAGTCATTCTTTCTTTTTTACAATTCTACAAATTTATAGTTTAGTAATAAATTTTTTGCATTGCTAGGAAGAAACGCACAAAGATCAGTTTACATTATCCGCATAAATGTGGAGCAGTAGTGATGCGATTCCATTCGAACAAACATTATTATATGCGGTTCATAATACATATTATTTTTAGGAATAAATCAAGGTTCGAGAGAATATTAGTGAAATGTATATTAAAGTGAAATATTAAAAATCTAATAGACAAGAATGTACAGAAATTTTAATATGTGACGAACCTTTAATATTTTTTACATTATAAAAATATCATAAAAATGATTTAAAAATTATGAAAGATTTCTATTTGTATTTTTATATTATCAACTATATAAAAATTATAAAATTTTCTATATAAGTAATTACAAATAAAAGTATATAAGACTGCGACGATCCTCCAAAAGCTATTTTACGACTTTTTCACGAATTCGCCGTTTGGAAAACATTGATATTATAGATATATAATATAGATGATATTTGCAGATGAATTTTCTGCACGAGGTCGCGAAAAGAAAAGAAAGATGGTTTTTCACGTGGAACAGGTCAGAAAGAGGGAGAATGTCGATGTACGGTATATTTATTTCGGTCGAAATACTGTTCGCGTGATGTCATCGTCGATTTTCGAGATTGGCTCGCGGCTTGATTCTAGTTTCGAGATTGTCTGAAGATTTCTGAGACGAAGTGACAGCGTAATTTGAGGAGCAAGAGGAATTCGTCTCACAGATTAAAGAATAACTCGTCTCGCTATCTCTTATTTTTCTTTTTCTTTTTTTTTTTTTCATTGAAATATATGTACATAATATGCATATATTTTTATACGTATATAAAGTATTTCATGATGTAAACATGACGTAACTAGGAAGAGAAACGTGAAAAGATTCTACGTGAAAAAGATCAATCATGATACATATGCAAAATAAAATTCTTTCATTCGAAATTCTCGTATGAAAACTCGTCAAATAAATAATGAATTTTGTTAATTTTCAATCAAAAATTTAAAATTATAGAAGAAAATTATATTTATTTTTTGAAATTATATTTATAAATATTAGGTTGTCCCTTAAATTCTTTTTTTTCTATTATTAAAATCTATTATATAAATTTTTTCTAATATTTTTCTTTCATAATCATTTTATACACAAATAGTGAAAATAATTTTTCGCTCAATTTAATATTAAATAAAAACTAGAGAATAACTAGAGAAATAATATCGTGAAGAATTAATTTCTTCAATAATTATAAAAGTATAAATTGCATAGAGAATGTAGCTCAAATGTTGAAGAGTCGAGAAATCGCGAAGAACTTCCGGTCGGAAGTTGTCGCGTTCTCCGGTAGTTGTTCCGCCACGACGACACGTATTCATGTGTCAGGGCAAAAGGTAATCGATCGTCGAGACACGTGTTTCACGAGGACTCGTCATAAGGCTTCCTTCCTTGGAAATTTCACGCGTTAAGTAGATAGATACGCACGTTGCATGTAAGTAATATGCTATCACAAGTATACGCAATTGGCTTGGTCGATAGCTTGCATTCCGATAAATAGTCCTTTCTTTTGCTTCTTCTATTGCGTTTTCACGTATTTTCTTTTGTATTTTATGTCTTTCTCTTTGTCATAATTTTCATACGAAACTGCGTTTTTTTCGAGTAATGGATCATCTGCCACATTTTGGATTATTATCCTGCAACAATCGTAAAAAACATTCGTCAATCATTGATATATATGTATCTCTAATTATTTAATGTAGTTACAAACCATTGATTGTGGATGAAGATTTCTTTAATGTTTTTATTTTGCAATTGAAGGAATAAGTAAAATTGTAGTTGTATATAATTATAAGGATATAAAAATTTGACTGTATTTATTGTTAAAAATTACATAAGTATTATATTTGCAACAATGAGTTGCTAACTTTTTGATTAAAGTAAAAAATTGCAATTAATTAGAATTTTTTTCATATATAAAGTATATGTATATAACAAGATGTTAAAATAATTTATATCATATTCAAGTTCATATCATATGAATTAAAATTATAAAATAAATTTTTTTGATTCATTATGTGACGCAATTTTAATAAACAATTTCCGTGACATTCCGTGACAAACTAAAGAACATCGATGACACGACATGACGTAATCTTTAGGAATTTCGAAAGTTTCATACAGAAAAATTCAAAGATGAAGATTAATGTGGTGATTTATTTATTGAAAGATTAGATGATCGGTATTTTTTAATTGTGATCCAATAGAGACCAATTAAATCAATGAATTTTGTGATATTTCTCTATTATTTATTAATAATAATTAATAATAATTAATAATAATAATTTTAAATTGCAACAGTAAATTTGAAATTCTTCAATTTCTAAAAAAAATTATTATAATTATTCTAAAATAAATTATTATAATTTTCATTTTAAAATTCATCGAGTTAAATTAGTTATAAATAAATGTTAGTATTAAATTTTGTTATTTTAATTGGCACTATGAATATTCAAAAAATAATAATAAAAATAATATTAAAATAGAATCTTGTTTTAATATATTTATATTAATATATAATTATAATATAATAATTAAGAATAATTATAAATATCCATATAGTAAATAAAATATTTTTGAAGAAATTATTTATGTATTTATGTATTCTTGGATTTTCTACATATGTAGATATATAAAAAAATCATAATCGAGATAGACAACAGAAAAAACTAGGATATACCGTAATACTTCCGCTAATTTATCTTTTTAAATAATTCATTAATCTAACTGGGTTAGTGTTTTCTTCACGGTATTTAATTAATTAGTTGAGTAGATTTAAAATAAAATGAATCGTATAGATTTTTTATGTATTTTAAAGAAAATATGTCATATAAGAATACAAAAATACAAATTAAAAACTAAAAATTTTGTTTGAATTTTAAAAGGTTAATAAAAAAAAGGAAAGAAGAAGAAAAGAGAATAATGAAAATTTATGTGAAAATAAATTATAATAAATGAATAATCCTTAGATTAATAGATTCGTACAACTTAATATCATTAAATATTATTAATAGTTATCGGTGGAATGAATTAAAATTATAAATTATTTAAATAATCATAATTTATTTGATTATTAATTAAAAAAAGAGAAAAAAATCATATTGTGAAAAATCAAGGATTTTCAAAATTTGGAATGTAAATTGCATAATATAAATTAGTCATCTTTTCTTCGTTGTCTCTGTTGATTCATCGCGTTCAATATTTTTCTTAATTTTTTCACATGCTCTCGCATGCTCTGCTGGTTTCTTTCCTCTTCTACAATGTCTCATGATTCTCGAGGTAGCAAAATGTGCAAATAGAATTTTAATTGCTATTTATTTTTGTTCGCTAAGTTCTCGTATCGCTCGTCATTTCGCGTCTTGTCGTCTTACAGATACAAAATCGATTGATGATATTATTAGAAGGTAATTTGTGAATCTAAATTAATAATGTAAAAAATTCAAAAGAAATATTATTCGAATTGTTTC